TATTTTCTCTGCTTTAGTTGAATTACACGGAAAACGTTCACCTTTCATAATCCGTTTACAGAAGTTTGTATTAGTTATTCGTTCGAAAGATATTGAATTTTTCTTTTAGTTTAATTACGTTAATTTACATGTTTATGTTTGTGGGATGGAAATTTCTTTGTCAGTTATATATTATATTTAAATTGTTAGTTTAGTAGTTTAATTAATAAACATAAGGCATTACTCTTTAAGGATGAGGAAGGGACGCCTTCTCTCCAAATTGGCTGTACCAGATTTAAATTTAAGAATATTATCACACTAATATGTTTGAAGTTAAGACCTTGGCTAAATCCCTTCAACCCCTATGTAATGAAGATCACACATGTTCTTCTTCTTTAACAACGTCTTTGCAAACGCAAAAAGAGCGATATTTGACAGGAGGAATGCCTAGGAAAAGAATGTATCGGCAGGAGCTAGACGAAACATCGCAGGAGATAGAATTTTTACGCAATAAAGTGAGAGCTTTAGAAAGTAAAATATAAATTTTAGAAAGTAGAAAAAATTTGTGTATAGTTGGGCAGGAAAAAAATAGACAAATTACAGAGCTTTGCGACAAACTCCCTCTATATGTGTGAGAAATTGTCTAAAAAAAACCCGTACTTCGAAGGGAATTAAAAACATTAGCTCTTGCTGTTAAATTTTTATCACCTATTGTGTATAGGTATTTGCATCCCATTTTTTATTGGCCATCGCAAGTTACCATCAAATAATTTTTTCAGGGTCGGCCACGTAACCCTGGCTGCAATTTTAGCAGCATGAAAGCCCTGGAGTTGAGAAGCAGTGGTTTTACAGACGCACAGAGATATGTTTCGATATGCTTTGACGAAATGTCTTTGAAAATTTACCTTCAGCATGAGAGAAATGGGGACTGGATTGGAGGATTACGGATATGAAAATCGTACCTCTCGAGTAGCTTCCAGTGACTCGGAAGTCATTTACTTCTTTGATTCTCCTCATCTTTTAAAAAGTAAAGAAAACTGCTTAGAAAATAAAAAGAACAAAGTCAATGTTAATGGTCAGATATCCGTATTCAGACTGGATAATTTTTTCGGACATATACGCAGAAGGGGGATTGTGGGGATGATGTAAGAATAACTCCGCAGCGTTTCTCACATCTTTTCAGACAAGCCTGGGGCATAGGATATATTCAATGTTGAGATAAAGGGGATCTGCGAACTCTTGCTAGTCTAATAGCTACCTCCAAAGCGCCTGAAACAACGCTTTGGTTCAAAACACCTCTTGGCAAACTATTCAAGGTTTACCAAGACCTACCAATTGTTCCTCATTTCAAAATATACAAATCGAGGTAAATGTGGACGTAGATGAAAGCAGCTTTCTACATAAAAATGCTTTTGTATATTTTTGCAGATAATAGTATTAAAAAAATTTTAAACAACCCGAGCTTGTAGATTTTTTATCAAAAATCGAAAATGTTTATATACAACATTTTGATTCAACTTGCTACAGGATCGGCTTTTGCCAAATACTATTTGAAAAAATGGTGGACGTAGAATCATACTATTGTTGTGAAAATTGTAATTCCGATACTATAAAATGTTTATTCATTAGAATTAGAACATATTTCCTAGTAAATGCTTTTAACAAAAAAGTGAAACAAAGTGATTTCAAAAACGTTATGTTCTTTCGTGTTCCACATAAATAGTTATCTCGTCCGTTTGTCTGCCTATATGTGTCGGAATTTATATACATATATGTCTGTCATTCTGAATGACTTTACAATTATCAAAAAGTTTATCCTAAGGCCGCATTTCCATAGTTACCTGGATCTATGATTTTGAAATGAGAATTTTTGGTTTGTACGCCAATTATTACGTATTTATTTGTTTTTCAAGTGTTTTGGTGTATAGGACCCTTTTCTCCGCCACTATTCCTTTGATTAGCTGCCATACAAACTAAACAATCGGAATGAAGTGCTTGTATGGAAAACTCTTTCATTTGACGAGGTATCTTCACGAAATTTGGCCTGTATTATTATTTAAAGCATTAATCTAATCTCCGAAGAAATTGTATGGATCGGATGACTATAGCATATAGCTGCCATATTAACTGAACGATCGGAGTAAAGTGCTTGCATGGAACATTTTTTTGTTTGATGAGGTATCTTCACGAAATTAGGCACGAGTTATTGCTTAAGGCAACAAATTATTCTCCACAGAAATTGGTCAGATCAGATCACTATATCATATAGCTGCCATACAAATTGAACGTTCGGAATCAAGTTCTTGTAAGGGGCCTTTGTTTTTGTGAAGGGTATTATAGCTTCGGCGCAACCGAAGTTAACGTTTTTTCTTGTTTTTTATATTTATTTCTGTTTTTGTTAAATTAATACAAGTAGATTATTTTCACTTATATTTGTTCATGAACACAATTGAATTGTTCCTGATTTTTACATATTTATTTTGGATTTGGTTTAAATCAAGTTGAATATTTGAACTTGTATTGTTAATGTTATTAATATTCATAAACCTGATTCATGTACCTGATTTTATGTATACATCTTTCGAGTTTTAGTTGTTACAAAAAGTAGATTGTAACGCGTAAGATTGTAACGGTAACGCGTCTATATTGCAACCTCAGAGGAGGTGAGGAAAAGCAATAAATATAAAAACCTTTTGTTTCGAAAATATTCTTGAAAGTTTTCATTAATATTCTCCATTACAAATACCTCTTCACAAACAAGTTGTTAAACTGCATTCCTTTCATTTACATCTCTGTGTCATAATAGGCAGATTTTGACCAGGTGATCTCAGCTGTGTTACACACGGGAAAAACAGCTGATTCTTTTGTTACTTGTAGGATTATACAATGATTCTAACTCATCCAACACCTAATAAAAGTGTAAATTGTTAAATTTTATACGATAGTTTTAAGTGCTACCATGTTATCCAAAATTAGAATTCACTTTAGGCACTCCCACTATAATAATACGTAGCTAGATTAAGTGAAATTTTGCAATTTTATGAAAATTGTTGGTAAGTCTAGTTAAGGCATAAACTATTGATAGTGAGACGAAAATAAAGCTCTAGTCTATGTGTTAAAGCTTCATCTCCTCAAAATTTGAAAATGAGTGCGTGATAGTCCGTGATATATTAAAAGAATCCAATTGTAAGTAATTATTATTATTAATACAACTAGTTGTTGTTTCAGAAACTCAATTATAAAATTAACTTGAATATACTGAAATATTCTTAAAATAACTTAAAACCACGGTCGAATACATTTATTTATAAATAGGTAAACTATTTTTAATAGTTCGATTTTAGTTTCGAGCTGTTACATTATGAAAAATTATGAGAGAAAAAAATTAATGTGTGAAAAATCGTGTATACACATTGAACAATGGCAACATTGGTGAAATAAAAACAAAAGAGAGCAACTGATTTCTGCGTTGCAACTACGGGCATAACTTTTGACAAATTTGGTTAGATACGGACGGTAAGTACAGAAGGGAGGAATGTCGGTGACTGTTTAAGCTATTATGTATTAAATGTGTTAAGATAGTTGTTTATTTTTGCCTGCTAGCAGTGGAGACCACGACTAAGCAGTGCTACCAATATGTGCGAATATTTAGGCTGTGTGCCAAACGATAACATATTTCCCTGTGTTGAGTTGGGGTGAAAAAATTTCCTATGGTGTTAACAAATTTTAGATTTTGCTGTGCCAAATGGAAAGTAAATATTTTGCTTGCTAATAACAATATTAATGAAACTACAAAAAAATATATTGATTAGAAGATTTGTTTTAATGGATAATTTTAGACAACGTGCTAGTCGATTACGACGCTACTTGCATGCGGAGCACATACATATGTTTATATATAATTATATCAGGCTATATACAATTTTTAATATATATATTCAGAAACACATTTACATTAAGATTTTTTAACCAATTCCAAAAATATTATTTTAAACATTATTTTTACTTAACTCTTTCATCTTAATAATAGTTTGCAATATTCAATGGAATATATAATAACATAAACAAATTAATAACTTTTTTTATAACATACTGACTCTGTTAAATTCGTTTAGTCCTGAATACATATCTGTAGTCATATTTATAAGTTGTCAAAAGCTCACATAAACAAATGAGTAACTTCGAATTAATAACCTATTTTATAACATACTTGTTCTTTTAAATTCTTTTACCTTAATGCATATCTGTAGTCATATTTATAATTTGTCAAATTCTGATACACCGATTCACAATGAAAAACGTCAAAATTTCACTTGTATCTGTCAGAATTTTCATTTTTCTATCGTTTGGCACACAGCTTAATATTATAATAAAGAAATCCAATTTAACATGAAGCCGAAATTTAAGTTAAGTTCGAACAGCTTAGGTTTAATTCGAAAGCTAGTCACGTGGCATTATCAAATTTAATGCAGTATTTATTAATATAAATAAAATTAAATTGTTTTATGTCAATGTTGTGATCTATAGTTTAATTTTTTGGGGTATTCGTAGATAATTTAGATATTTTTTTGTTTGTTTTTAATAGTTTTAAGTAATTTTGTTCATATACCTATATGTACTCATGTATATTCGAGCATATTACAACTTGTTATCAACAATATTTCGGATTAACGTTTTATACTTTTGAGAGATTTACGATAGATAGGGTATTTCTGACAATCTGTGTTGCTAGCAGTATTGCAAATAAAGACTGCATATTGCTTATGTTGAGCCAAAGTTATCTAAATATATATCTTGACATCTATTGCTGACAATAAACTGTCATTTTGGTCGTTTCGTCTACATTTCTACTGAAAATTTCCGGCGCATGTTGCCAGCAAAAATAAAATGACAGTGCCCGATGTTTCATGTTTTGTTCCGTAAACTGCAATGTACCAAAGTTATATACAAAGCATACATTTTAACAAAACATGGATAATAATCATTAATACCTATATATATGTATGCATACATAATATATGGTTAAAATATTTATAAATTATATAATAAATGTATATATAAAGAGAAATAATTGGTAGCAAATGTAAATATCTATGCATATATATAATAATGGTATTGGTAAATGGGCATTCCGCAAAAAGTACTGAAAGATTGAATCATATAACACATCAAATCTTATTTTTCCCAAAAATTTGTCGAAAAAAGTAGATTTCTACGTTTTCCATTGTCTTCTTATATATTTATCAAGAGCTCAAACATGCCCTACAACAGCTCGAACGTTCCTACCCAATGCCATTTCATAAATGATAATTCATGATATCAAATGCTCACAGAAAAACATTGCCAACCTTAATGGCAATAGATTGGACAGTTGGTTGGCTATGGCTGTTGCCTGTGGAGATGCGGTCTTAGGCAAGTACGACAAATTTTATGACCAATGACTATTTAAACTAAATTTAATTTTTTTTTGCTGATAAGACACATTTAATATGTATGTACAAAATAGTTTTTGCCGTAACTTTGATGTTTTACGATATTTATTTTTATGTATTACATTATTTTAAGATTTGTATATTTTTTCGGTACGGCAATTCTGTTTTCTAGTCGGTCGTTCCTTGCAATTTCCATTTTAATTATAAAGGCACACTTCGCGGTCGGAAGCTTCGTTGATTACTACGGGGGTTGGTGTATAAAGTTTTCAGTGCGGTAAATGGAGAAAACATCATTAATCTAATCCAGAGTTTTGTTTTGATTCTCGGGACGGCGATACCACTTCGCGTTTGACGTCGTACAGTGGAATAAACGTTTCGTTTTGCCATCTAAAATCGGATATATAACTTAGATACATATTACAAAGAAACTTGGAAATCATGTTATAAACTGTTTTAATTTTTTGAATAACTAAGAAAGCCATTTATGCACTCATATGCTAGTTTTTATGGACGGTATAATGAGGCAGATTTGGATACTGGTGTTCGAATAATAAAATAGTCGTGTGCTTTGAAGGTGGGTTTTTCTTTGTATAAGAACGACCGACCAGCTATCAGTGAAGAAAAAAATATGAAAAAATATTTGTTCTAAATATATTGCCTCGTAACTTAAAAATATCACAAATATATGCATTGTGCAAAAATATATAAGTGTACGTATTAACATGTGTGTAGTTTTCCACAATAAGCATTGTGATTTTCCTAACGGCAAAAATTCTATATATGCTTTGTTCATATAATCGCCTTCTCTTCTCGCGTCTTACCTGTATATGGTTGTGCGCGAATATGTGTGTCCCATATGTGCATCTATCTGTTTGCTACTATGCAAAGATATTCATCTAAACGTATAGTAAGTATGGGTATGTAGGTAAAGCCAGTATGACTGCAGCAGCCATCCATATAGCTCATTAAAATTTAGCATACTTATATTTACATCTATCTAAATATTTCTATATATGTACATATAAATAAGTACATTCATGTGTACATTCGTATTTTTAAATATAAATACTTGCTCATGTACAATAGTAGAGAAATATGTACACAAATAAAACCTTTATATGCTGGGGTATATACATATGTACGTATGCAGCTTAGCCTAAAGAAAATTTTTGCAGCGTATACCATCTAACCTGTATACTTTTAGAGATGGAACATTTGTCGGTATGCCAGCTTTCAGACGCACTAAAATTTGTAGATCTCAAAAAACTTTAACCACAAAAGTTAAAACCGCTCATCTTTACAGACAAATGTTTATATTTTGTTAAACATCTTAAAGTAGTTTTTGTTTATTGGTGTTGTTTCTAAATTGAGATAATATATGAATAAGTGTAGACATATCCGAGTTTATATCTATCATCTACTGTCTGACATAATCAGTGACTTTGCTCCCCATGTGTTATTACCAAATTTGCGACTAGATTAAGTGATAGGAATGATTAGTAGATGCGAAATTGTAGATTTTGTAAATTCATAGCTAAGCACACATTGTTTAAAAGCACCAAAAACAGTTAATTATTGGGTAAATGTATAGTTTCGGTCCCCCAACTAAGGTGGCCTCAAAAATGAATTTTTTTTTTAAATCGTCTCATTTTTACGGAGCGGAAAGTGAATTTTTTTAAAATAATTTATGTATATTTTTCAAAATTTATTTAACACACTTTGCACATATCACATATTCAAGTCACTTAGTTGTTGTTGTTGTAGCGGCAAAATTCTGTAGAATTCAGATCACTTAGCTGTAATAACCAGTCCAACGTGTTAAACATTTTCTTATGAAAAAAATATACTGAAGACATGTAACATTTACAATTTCCTTTGCGCCGCGATCTGATGGTATGGACGAATATCGGAGATCGTTGAACTCCTTTCCGCACTGGCGGAATAATCCTGGTCGGTCCAAAACCGGGGTGTTCATAATTCAATCGTGTCAAACTCCTTTTCGCTGCTCTCAACTTCGATGACAATAAAAGTGCACTAACATTGACATTTTAATATAAATTTCCAGAAACGTTTATGAAGAACAGTAAATACACTAAAAAACTTGAACAATATGTGATTTTTTCAAAGAAAAAAATAAAACAATTAATTTAAATGTATCACAATTGTTAATGCATATTAATAAAAAAAATAAAACTTTTTTTTTTTTGAAAAAATAAAAAAAAAATAGAAATATTAAAAAAATTCACTTTCCGCTCACGGATTTGTAATCTACGCGTAAAAATAAGACGATGTAAAAAAAAAATTCAATTTTGAGGCCTCCTTAGTTGGGGGACCTAAACTATACATTTACCAATTATTGTCCTAAATTCGCTGCGTCATTTTAAAGATTAAGTTTAAGTTAAAATCCAAACATAAACTTAATTTCAAATAAGCCGGTTGTCATGCTTGTAAAAGTTAAAATTTTTCATAATGTAGCTACATTATTGGCTGGAAAACTTTAGTATACCGTCTCAGGCTTTCGGAGGTAAAATGGGTATAGGCGGATAGAGGAGATCCTCCAGATTAACAATACATATAGATATAGGCGCGGGAAACTTATAGTTTTCGAGATATTTACGTTTAAAGCTGAAAAGGGAAAACTTTAGTTTAGAAATCCACGATTTCAGGGTTAAGAGGGGTATTTATGGTTAACTTTTCTTTTATATTATGCCCTTATTATACACTAACACTTTACTACAAGGTTTCTACATATTTATTTTATATTAAATATTTAAATATTTGCTTTAAATAAGCATTTTATTTATACAAAATTTTCGTTATATGAACAATAACAAATGGGTTCCATGTTGTAAGATAATAAGTGACCTGTGACCTAATGACAGTTGACATAATAACCAACTTGATAGCGCGCAATTTCATCGTTGGTATTGGAGAATGTCAAAAACGGTCATATCGCTGCCTTTCGAGACATATTTGCAAATGTATTTTATGGACTTCACTGGCGTGTATGGAGCAACCCGATTGTTGACTCGTTTTTTCCAGTCGAGTAAATACATCCAGCATCGAGTATCTCCAAAGACGCGTTATTTAACATTTAACAATGTAGTTCATCAGGGACCGCATTTTTTCCCTGAATACACGTGCTGTGATATCGTGCCGATCACTTGATCTTTGTCCGGGATGCAGTAATTGAAACATTTCTTTTTATTTTGGATTACAAGTAAAAGTAATTAATAGATCTTGCCGACCGTAATGACGAACATACGTCATTCCATCTTGCCCATATTCTTGCATATAGCTGCATTTCCTTTGGTACGAATTGTATCACGTAAATGGATATATGAAATGAAAATTAAAAGCTCCGTTTCTAACTTGACGTACATGTCAACGCAATACGGCTGAAACAATCGACGAAACCGCTGCAAATAGTTGTCAGCATTTTGACGAATCATCAAACGGTATGCGTAATAATTCATCGAGCTAACTTTCTTCACCTTAAATTAAAAAAGTAGGTAAAATATTTCGTGTGTAAATTTTTAGCAAAGTTATAAAGGGGTGAAGATAAAGGATTTTAAATCGGTTGCCACTCATTTGTCTAGTTTTATCTATGTAAACAATCCTTAATCTTCTCCTGGTAATAAGCAGTGAAATTCTGTTTTTTTTTTATTGTAAACCAAAACCAAACAATGTAAAATGTACGCCATGTTGAACTATGATATTGATAGAATAGAATAGATATGAATAGAGGTATGCACCGCGACCTATGGTCTATTGTGCCCTCCCCTAAGTCACAACGACTCATCTAGCCCCAGCATATAGATGAACTCTAATATACTGCTAGGTGCAATGCGATTCCTGTTGGGAAACATGGATCCCATGGCCTTAATTCTGCGTCTGCAGACTGCTGGGGCAGTCCACTAACAGGTGTTCTGGGGTTTCCGGCTCCATGTCACAAACCCGGCAGTTTGCAGAAGAGACCAAGCCCATGTTGGATAGACGCTTATTGAGCTTGCAATGGCCGGTGTAGAACGTGGCAAGCGGCCGGAATTTATTTCTCGGGAGATTGATTACGGTTTTCAACCGTCTGAGGTCGTAACCCCCCATCAGCAACCTGGTATGGTTCACCAAGGTCATCAATCTGTCGATATCCACTCTTCAAATACCCGATGTGTGGAAAGTCGGAAGAGTGGTCCCACTGCTGAAACCTGGGAAACCCGCCAACAAAGGGGAGTCTTATCGTCCGATAACTCTCCTTTCCCCAGTAGTGAAGACACTTGAGGCCTTGTTACTCCCGTCATTCCCCCACCACCTGAGCCTAGCAGACCATCAGCATGGCTTCCGTAAAGTGCACAGTACCACCACAGCACTTAGCGTCATAAACGCCCAGATAGTTCATGGCCTGAACCAGAAGCCACTCTGCGAGAGGACGATCCTCGTAGCGTTGGACTTGTCAAAAGCTTTTGACACAGTCAATCACGCAACGCTACTTGAGGACCTGGAACAATCAACGCTCCCTCCAGGGCTGAAGCGGTGGACCATGAACTACCTGAGCGGTCGACACTCATCCGTACTATTTCTAGGTCAAAACTCCAAACTCAGGAAAATTAAACAGGGGGTTCCGCAGGGCGGTGTCCTCTCCCCGCTACTGTTTAATTTCTATATTTCAAAACTCCCTCAGCCACCAGCGGGAATTTCAATGACCTCGTACGCAGATGACTGTACGATATTGACGTCGGGCAATGGAATCGATGGCATGTGTTCAAAAGTAAACGGCTACCTCTCCGATCTTTCTCGCTTCTTTTCTGCAAGGAACCTAACACTCTCCCTCACTAAATCCACAGCGACCATCTTCACCAATTGGACGAAGGAGTACAGACTGGACCTGAACATTTCAGTCGATGGCACAAAAATTCCGACAGTAAATAACCCTAAAATTTTAGGCGTCACTTTGGACAGTCTGTGCTCTTTAACTCCTTATACGACCGCGATAACTGCCAAAGTACAGAGCCGCAACAAAATCCTCAAGTCGCTTGCCGGCAGCTCATGGGGAAAAGACAAAGAAACGTTGTTGGCAACATACAAGGCAATCGGCCGGCCGGTCCTCAATTATGCAGCCGCAATATGGTCGCCTGGATGCAGTGACACGCAGAATAAGAAGCTCCAGACTTGTCAGAACACTGCACTCCGGACTATCACGGGATGCCTCTTGATGTCTCCAATCGAACACCTACATAGCGAGGCCCGTATGCTTCCGGTTAAGGAACATAACGAGCTCCTCTCCAAGCAGTTTCTGCTGGGATGTTTTCGCAGAAACCACCCCTGCAGTCGCCTGCTTGTAGCGGAGCAGCCTCCTAGGAACATCAAGAGGTCCTTCCTTGACTACGTCGACGACATTAGACAGCACGCCGACCAGACTTCAGACGCAACTAACTTCAGACAGGCACTGACCGCCATTCACAGTGGAGCCATTAACACCTTCACCGACTCCCTCTCAGTAAATGGCGTAATACGAGTCAAACCACCACCCATTGCAGACACAGAGCTCGAGTTGCCTCGCGAATCTAGAGCGACCCTCGCGCAACTTCGTTCTGGATACTGTAGCAGGTTAAACTCCTACCTATCCAGAATAGACCCATACATACCAAACACATGTCCTGCATGCAATGAGTCTCCGCATGACACTAACCACCTCTTTGCATGCCCAACAAACCCCACTCATCTAACACCCCTCTCCCTATGGTCCGACCCCGTCGAAACAGCTCGTTTCCTGGGCCTTCCGTTAGATGACCTCGACGACAACGAATCTAGAATTTATCACCCAAACGGGGATTAGATAATCGTTACAACAACAACAACAACAACCTGGTATGGTGTATGCCTTGAAGATGTTGCCAATGTCTCTCCCATCAATATCGTATGCATATCCCTGACAGCGGATTCCATTGCTAGTTAGCAGCTCAATAAGATCGTCCAGAACTAGGCTCCAAAGTAGGGGGTATAGCACTCCACCCTGTGGGCAACCTCTTGTTGTGCCAAAACTAATTTTGGTGTCACCTACTGTGGTTTCAGCTACCCTGGTGTGAAGTACGGCTTCTATCCATCTGCGTACTGGTGCACCTTTTCTCTGGCGCTCTTGACACGCTTTCGTGAGACGTATTGTCAAAAGCACCTTCGATGTCTAGGAAGGCGTAACCAGAGAACTTAAATGAACGAGAAGGTGCAGGTTCGACAGCGAACAATTTGTAGGAATTTATCAAGGAGTTCACCACACATGCACGAGAAACAAATAACATTTCTCGCTTTTATAACAGCGGTGAATCTGTAAACATACGCTCTCTTAACATAACCAACCGACGAATATTGAAGAGAATATAATATGTAAGCAAAACTGGGAATATTGATATGACAATTGACAAATTATTCCCTTTTATTGAACTATTATTTATTTTTATTTTTAAATTATTTTATGTTAATTCATTTTTACTTTATTGTGAGTTATTAATAATAATTTAAAAATATTTTGATATATTTCTTAAAATCATTCATTTACTTGACACCATTATGGATTCACAAAAGTACAGAATTGTGTTTTGCCGTCGGCATTTCACATTCATGCTTCAATTTTTCTTTTCAAATGCATGTGTAAAAGTAATTATGTACGTAAATATGTACTTACATATATTATGTCGTTTGCACATTTGTATGTATATATGTACACTCAATTCTTCATGTGAAATCTCCGTTGACACATTTTTTGCTTTTATGTCAATCTGTCGAAGAACTGACGCGACGACAAAGCGTTGTGTTGTTGGTAGAAAATCCGAGATGTGCCGAAAAATAAACGAACGTTCGCCGATTGTCATCATTTCCCTTGCCGCTCTAACAGCTTTGCCTACAAATCATTGTAGGTATGTATGTATTTATATGAACATGCATACATATTGACGAAGATTTTTGCGAGCCACGGAAAAATATTTTAGAATTGTGAAATATTTTAAATCGACAAAAGCTTTGTTGCCACTTTTGTCATTGATTTCTGTGTTTGCAGGGTTGTCACTTTTCCCTTCTAGAGGGAACATCAGAAAGATGTTCAATTTCTAGCTTTTGCCATCGTCGCGAAAATACGCTTGTGGGCAAACGCCTGCTCGGGGAGATGTGTAAGGCGTTTGCTTTTATGAATGAAATATATATATAATAATATATCATATTAATATACATACGTACAAATTATTAATTATGTAACAACTGAAATTAGAAAATTATGAAAATAGTAAAATATCATTTCTTGCATAATCTTTCACATTTTATCAATGTAGCATTTGTGCAAAAAAATCATATTTTATCAATTTTTCATCATAAAAATCGTTTATATGGCAAAAAAAAATCATGCATATGTGAAGTGGCATTTGTATTTTTTGTTTTCTCATTCATTTCATTTCATTTTTCTCTTTATGTTGGGAGATACGTAATTTGTCAGAGAACGTTGTTATAAATTCTCATTTCTGTTAAATAACAGCATATACTACAGAAAATGGTGAACTCCTTGATCTCAATTTTTCAGCCAACCAATCGAGCATCATAGAAAATTCAATTTGCACCTTCTCGTTGTTCTAAGTTTTCTGGCGTAACAACACCTCACCCCCATCTAACGAACTTCGGATCTCTGAGGTTAGCTGATACAGAGCAGTATTGGTTGACCTGCCTGCTCTGTAAGCATGCTGCTTTGCGTGTAGCGGTGCAGTTTTCAGTACCTTCGATCATATTTCGTGATCAATGATCTTTTCCATACTCCTAAGTAGGAAGGAAGTTAGACTGATTGGCCTGAAGGATTTTGCCAACGAGTAGTCTTTCCTTCTTACTTTGCGTATGAAGATCACCTTTGCGGTGCGCCATGGTTCTGGGATATATGTCAGCGCTAGGCTATCGCTCATCAGCCGAAAAAGGTGGGGCAGTAGTACCTGTTCCCCCTGTTGCAGAAATGCTGGAAGTATGCCATTCGCACCCGGGGACTTAAATCTTTCAAAGGAGGCCAAAGTCCACTTGATGGAGTCTGTAGTGAAGAGCTGTTTTGCGACTATCCAATCTAAGCGTGATGGCTTCCACTATAGGTTGGATCTGGTCTTCTTGACATGTGTCCGGGAAATGCGCAAGTAGAAGGGCCGTGGCTCTTTCTTCTGCGCTGGACGTATATGTCCCATCAGATTTTTTAATTGCTGGCAGTGTGTCGGTCTTGCCTCTAGTCAGAGTCTTATGCAATCTTGCTTCCTCTGGCGTTGAGAAGACGCTTTCACAAAACTTCCTGAAGCTCTTCTGCTTTGCTGACCTAATCTCCTTGTTGTAAGCAGTTAGGCTGCACTTGTAGTTCTCCCAGTTCCCGGTACGCTTGGCCTTGTTAAATAGCTTGCGTACCGTTTTTCTTAGTTCTGAGAGCCTACTTGACCACCAGGAACAACTTCGGCACTTGGTGGTCGTCTTTAGGGGGCAGCTGCCGTTATATGCCTCTATAATGGACTGGCGCAGACAATCTGCTCTCCAGTCCAGAAGCAGTGGCAGTGCCGTCTAGCTGCCCCCTCCCATTGACCCTTATTTCAAGCGTATCCCTAAAAGTGGCCCAGTCCGTGTTTCTGGGGATACGCCTGGGAGAGATTTGTCTGACTTCTACCTCTAGTGCAAATCTTATGATACGATGATCTGACATGGAGGGTTCCGATGACACCCTCCATTGCCCGATCAGCTCTGTCATAAGTTCGTTACCAAGAGTGATGTCAAGCACCTCCCTTCTTACACTAGTTACAAAGGTGGGTTCGCACCCCACGTTTACAATACTTGAATTCCTACTAATTATAAATTCAAGGAGAGACTAACCCCGTGTATTGCAGTCCGTGCTGCCCCATTCCGTGTGATGGGCGTTGGCGTCGAATCCTAGGACGAGAGGCAGGTTAATTCTCCCGCAGTATTTCACCAGGTTATCAACGGCCTCTGGAGTTGCTGTCACTGTGTCCCCCGGAAAGTAGGCCGCTGCCAGGACGAAGTCCGCTCCTTCGTTGCTTTTAGCCTGCACAGCAACCAGGTCTTGTGTTAGAAACTCTAAAATACCCAGTTGGTGGTAGAGGGGGTAGTCTACCTCCCTCTTTCGTTTCTTTTTGCGAACCCCCTCGGTAGATACCCGTTGTGACTCCCCCGAATCCGAGCAGTTGATTCTACTCGAGGGAGCCTCGATGGGGTTCGCTTTACCAGCGCCGGCCGCAGTCAATCTCGCCTGCTGAGTGCCGCTGCACGAGAGCATGTCGTCGTCATCGTCTCTTGCATGCTCCTCGAACAGCGCTCGCTTTTCTGACGAAAGGGCGTCCAGGAAGCTGAAATTCTGTTTAGCCCTTGAACCTCCCTTACCTGCACCGGTGCTTGGTTTGATGGTCTTGTCCTTGTCCTTTCGCTGTTGTTGTTGCCTTGTTGTGTCCGTTGCTGTGTTGTTGGTTGTTTTTCATCTTTTTCTTACTCATGCGCTCGACCTGGCGAGCCGTCCGGCCAACATTCATTGTGGGGAACTCAAAAGTCCGCCGCGCCAGAGCCCATAACGCGGTAAGGCCACCGTTACTTCCCAATGCGGCCCGGTGTTGGGAAGGCTCCGTTGAAATACAGCCGAATTTACCTCCTGGCTGCAAATCATCCAATGGGCACTGGAGTCGCATACCACCCTGGATTAGGCTTTTTGTTGTCGCACGCATGCGGCTTCTGCCAACCCGTGTGAGAGGTGCTGGCAGCACTCCTCACCCCGGTTGGGAGATGCCGAGAATGCCTTGCTACTTCAGCCCCTGCACCACGGCAAGGTGCCTGCCATTCGCAGAGGCTATGATATTAATACTTACCATTCAATGGATTTAATTTGATTAGATTGCACTTAATCTATTTCATCCATTTTCACTTATTTCTTTACCCTTTTTTTTTTATTTGTTGGTTTAATTTTTTTCATTTTGATATTTTGAAATGTCTAAATCAGCTGCGATAATGTTATACATTTCCCAACTGACAAATAGCTGGCGCTAAATCAGAGTCGCACTGGGGAATTTTGAGTAGATCAGTTTCTAATCACCTCGGTGACGAGATTAACAAGTGTCATTCACAGCATTTAACGTCATAAACGTTAATGACCTAAACCAAAAGCCACCCTGCAAGAGAACGCTCCTCGTAGTCAAACACACAACGCTACTTGAGGACAAGCGGTGGATTATGAACTACCTGAGCGGTCGGCATTCATCCGTACTGTTTCGAGGTCAAAACTCCAAGCTGAAAAGAATAAAACAGGCGGTGTCC